CAAATCAGCCTTAAATACAGAAACTGCTCTGCCGACAACTGTTAGTACATCTTCTTAAGCTGATCGTTTCGAGATTCAAGGAGAGCCTTCAATGATCACTCTTACAACTCTGTCACTATATATTAGCATTATAAACCCGGTACTAGAAACCGAAATGCTGGTACTGCTAGCGATTATGTGGTTGCCACTCCGGAATGTACAGGTTATGTTTTGTCTATGTATTTGCCCACGGATACTGTCTCATTTATATGATGCTTACACTTCTCCTTGTTCAGCTGAATTTAGAGTTGCCATTCTGCACACAACACACTACCGATGGTAAAAAGCAGCTCTGCTTTGTTTAGGCAACTGCAAGCAAGGGAACGGGCGATGTGCATAAGATAAATCTGGCATCAGAAAATGGAATCTTATAACCTCTCGAAAAGAAGAGACGTGGGTAACTGAATGGATTAAATCAGTATGCGTTCAACATCAACGCAACAAGTGTCTTCTGCCAGGTGAACGAAGAACAGAGAAGTTTGCTTTGGGTCTCCTGATTTGCACAAAGTCACATTCCAGTAAAATGAAGATTATTTTTGAATTTTAACAACACTCGAGGCAGTGAATATAGTAAAGTATTTCCCTTCCTTATAAACCTTTCCTTTTGTACATTCAACCATCTAACCTTATCAGAATTTGCAAGTCCTTTCAGTAGAAAATAATTAACTTTTCGACGAGTCTCAGAAAGGAAATAATAAATGAAAAACAGCTTAAAAAATTCACAATTTTAAACGGAGTGAAATCATGTCCATATGATCAAAGGCCATAATATAATGTCTTTATTTCTCTGATGACATTTCTTATGGCGACTTTAAATGAACTATACAAAGACAACCTTCAACCTCTTTACTAGAAAGAACTCGAGGCAGCCATTTTTGACAATCTGCTGTAGTCGAATAAAATTGTGCACTCTGCGGATATGCCTTCTTAATGACTACAACTGGATACTTAAATTCACCTTTCATCTCACTGGTACAGACTCTTCCAAAAAAAACTGTCAACAACTGTTGCCCTGACAAATGTAAAGTAACGAGACGCTTCAGAGGTCTACATCTAACCAGGCTGGAGTTACCACTGTGTAAAACTGCGGTAACGCTTAATGAGAATAAGAAGGTCTGTACGACCTGTATCACCTCTAAAACAATGGAATAACAAATCGGCAAAGATAAGAGAGATAAACGATCGTGTCATCATAGTAAGAAAGTTGAACTTTTCTCAATGTTTACCTCAGTTGGCGGCTACAAGGGCAATATACATTTTTTCAACCGTCTAATTTCAGACGCTGCTGTTAAATTCTTTATTTTTTCCGGATCTCTGGGGACGGTAGCATCAGCAAAATTTTCCACTGGCTCCGATGTTTGACCAATCAGACAAGGTGCAAGGGCTCGATTGAGGTGTAGCTGTTCCTATGTAGAAGCCATTTGGCATCTGACCTACCTTTGCCAGCCTGCCATATGGCTCAGAGAAGAAAATTCCTATTACAGATACATTATGGTAGTCTAACAATAAGTTAACAGCATCGTAATGACGATCTCTAGACCAGTAGAAGGAACAGCTCATAATAGAGAGTATCTCGAGCTTTGTCGGATATCGTCACACCAGCAATCCGTCAATATCCATAACGCCGACCAAAGGCAAATGTATACGAGTAGAGAGAGACAGATGAAATGATACACTGACACGGCGATGGACCTTGGACATCAAAGCTTTTCCATGATTTCGAAGGTACTGCAGGTGAATTATTGCCAGTATCTGCAAACTATAACTCTGATAATCGGAACTATGGCTATTCCTATGTTTCGTCAAAAGGTCCATACAGAATGGTTTGTCAAATAACTATCAATGATCTGAAAAATGGAAATGACTGCACGTGATTTCACGAGCGCTTCCATTTTACTACCGTGTACAAATTTCGAAAGAGTTACACATGCCTTTCTAATATTTTTTAAATTCCGGCAGTGTCGTAAAAACCGTATTACGTTAATGCTCATTCTACAAAGTTTCTTTAGCTAATTAGTGAATGTTATAAAACGGTAATTCAAAGCTACCTCTGATTTTCGCCTGATGTTTTCTGGCACCGTCACAGACTGGCTTGCGGTTTCTAGCAGACGTGCCCGTGATGGGCTTACCGGTCTCTGGTTCCACGCACCAGCAGAAGCCGGTCAACTTGTGACACTGGACATTTTGGAACATCTTCTCGTTCCCAGTGACGCAGACCGGAACGTAAATTCCTGAATTTGGATTTCGTGCATGTTCCTCTTGAGCTTTAAGTCGCTGAGATTTGCAATCCGTCTTCTCTAAAAGTAAAACAAATTAATACAGAAATAGTCAGGCATTAACTACGGAATATGCCTAAAATACAGAGACGTCATAAGATAGAGGAGCGTTAACGCAAAAGAAACATAAAGCCTCTTAAAATGGCACTCAGCAAAGGGGAAAGGAGGAATTCTAGCTTTCGTTATTGCTACAGTTCCATGGTGGAAGCCATCTGTGGCACCTTTCTTTCTCATGAATAGGAATACGATGCAGAACTTATCTTCGTTTCTATCCCGTCCGCCAGAATCGATTCGTTTAAGGGCAACGGTGTGGCCTCATGTTTCCACTTTCACAAGGTTATACTCGTCTATCCATTTCAGAAAGACGAAAGGCAACTGACCTCACTTAGGCTTCAACTCTCGACCTTTCGACAGTGTCTGATGTCCTCTGACTCAGAAAACAGCAACTCAGATCAGTTAATATTACCGTCGTCAGATGTTTCCTGAGGAAATACTGGCGTCTCTTTGAGAACAAAGTCAGCAGAACTGCTGGATGCCCACAGACTGGCGGCGCGAAGACCTGAAACAATCACTTAAGAAAACAGATCTTGAATGCTGTCATCACAAAGCGGCGACAAGCGCGAAACACTCGACACAGACAAACATTCGCTACGTAGGTCATTGTGACCACGAAGAGACACAGTAAGCTAGCAGAGGTGGCTTGAGAGCAACACAAAACTTCATTTACATACGGGCACATTTACAGCGAAGCTCCTTTGACACTTGAATCACTCACCTATAAGGATTTCACACGAGCCAATCTTTGAATGGTTCGCGGGATAACAGCACAATTACAAACTTATAAGTTTCATTTTGGCATTTATTAAAATGAGATTAAAGATGACGTTTCTGATGCTAATAAAAATGCATATAATACACTATTCAGTTTTCTTTCAATTGAATATGGTCAGGAATTAGCTAGGAGGACTTGTTTTCACTCTAGCTAATATGGCAGTTTCTTCGCCTTGAAATCTGCATTCGATTCACTACATCGCACGATGACGTGGAAAATCTTCAAATGCTACTGGATGTACTCGTTTACCTTCTGGAAGAGGTACCTGTAGCCAAAATCGAAGAGAAGCTATTCGAGTGATTCCCTAATAATTGTGGAGTTTGCTATGGAGATGCGCTTCACCCTCTACTATTCAATACTGTTCTCTACCTATTTTACTTCTTCGAAACAATGCTAACTGCTGCAAAGACGAATGTTGTGTCAGTCTAGATGAAAGACGCGGTGCAAGAAATCCGGAAATATCTTTCTAACCTGAACTACGCAGATGATATTGTCCTGATGGTACGGACACCGAGTTTTATCACCTGAAGGTTTCCGTATG